GTGTGGGCGGGGCCCCAAAGTAAACTTTTGCCCCTAGGGTAGCCCAGAGCTTGGAGAAACCCCGGACAGATCTGGTCAGTTGTCCTCCTACTGTGTTGCAAAGCAGGTTCAGGATCCTCATCTACGAATACACACAGGGACCTGCTCCATTCACGTTTTTTACTAAAGCACCCACACGAGTTTCTGTGCAATGTACAAACAAGTGGGCGGGGCCCCAAAGTAAACTTTTGCCCCTAGGGTAGCCCAGAGCTTGGAGAAACCCCGGACAGATCTGGTCAGTTGTCCTCCTACTGTGTTGCAAAGCAGGTTCAGGATCCTCATCTACGAATACACACAGGGACCTGCTCCATTCACGTTTTTTACTAAAGCACCCACACGAGTTTCTGTGCAATGTACAAACAAGAGCCGGCCCTGGGGCTTCTGCCTCCTCTGAGACAGGGAGGTGGGGATTAGACAGACTGATCCAACCCCCCACCCTACCCCCATGCAAAGGCCAACCCCAAGATCCCAGGCAGCAACACAGCACCCGCTCTGGTCCCCTTCTGGGGCTGCTCCTCAGCAGGGGTCGCACCAAGATTGCCCCTTACAATGCGGAATGAAAAAGGTTTCCCCTCCCCTGGGAGCATGGGGGAATCCCCCGGTCTGAGAATTCCCCCTGGAAGAGACACTGCCCCCTAGTCATACCTCCCAACCTTCCAGGCCCTAGGGGACTCAAGGGGGGGAAACTGAGGCACAGAGAGGTGGAGTGACCTAGTCCAAGCCACTTCGCGAGGCAGTGCAGGGGCTGGCCCGACCCTGACAGTGAGGGGGACTGGGCTAGGGGAATTAGGGTAGGAAGAAGGGTTGATCCCAGAGGGCCACACCAGAGGGGCCTGCTTAGGCCACAAGCCCCTCAAAGTGGGTTCTGAAACTTCTAGGTGCAGCTGGCAGGTCTACTGAAGACCCTCAGAAAACAGCCCAGTCTCAGTGGGCTCCCAGAGCAGCGCCAGCCAGGCTGTAAGTCAGTCCTCTGACGGGCAATCCTTGGCACCAAGCACCGCAGTCCATTAGTGTCAGCCCCGAGGGGGCCACGATGGGGGCCGCCCAATGTCCACTGTGATGTTGGTGAAGAGTGGCTGCCGAGACACCTCCAAGACCTGGTACCGCACTGACCCAATGCCGTCCCGCTTCATGGTCAGCTTCGTGTTTTGAATCTTGGTAAACCTAGAAGATGGAAATGGGTCTGCATAAGGGCTAACATCCAAACTCACTATGGAATCTCTGGGGCCAAGGATCAAGCCCTCCTGCTCCTTCAAGGGGTGACTCAGCAGTAGCCCTTTACTCCTGGATCCGCCCCCAAATCAGAGGTCTCACCCTCTTCCTTCAGAAAACAGAATTGTGATACCCTTGCAAATCCCTCAGCTAGACCTCTGCTAAGCCTTTGACTCAGACATGAAGCGCCTCAAATGCAACGTGTCCCATGTCCAATGTAGCACTATTACTCCCCAACCTGTGCCATCTTCTCTGTTCCTCATCCTTAATCACCCTTCCCTGTTAGCCAGGCTGTACTCTGGGCACCAGGGATGCAGCCATGAGGACAAGTGAGGTCCTTCCTCTTAGAGCAAGTCCGCTTCACCAAGGCAAGAGAGAAAGCAGGCAAGGGAAATGTCAGAGTGCTAAGGGGACAAGATGGCTACCCGGGAAGGAGTGTGACACCAAACTAAGGACAGGACAAGAGCACCACAGGCAGAGGTCAGAGTACATGCTTCCCCTAAGCACAGCTATATGGCTAGACTTTCAAAGGCCAAGGAGGAAACAGGAAGATGAGTTTAGAAGTTCGAACGTGAGCAGAGTAAGCAGCTCATATTTTATTCGGAGTGAGAAGGCACTGAGGGAATCTTAACCCAGTTTGGAAGGGTGGGGGTATGGGCTCTAGAAGGCCAAGGAAACCCATGCAGTAGACCAAGCAAGATCTGAGAGGTGGACTAGAATAAAGGTAGGGAATAGGAAAAACAAATGGGTTCAAGTGTATCTGAGGGGACATGACTTGCTAATAATAATTTGGATATGCAGACTGAGACAAAAAATCTGAGCACTAGATTTTAGGCAAAAGCAACTAGATAGTATGTATTCTGTAACAATGTTATAAATGTCAAATAAACAAAGTTGTTTTTGTTGTTGTTTGGGGGGGTCCTGGGGATTGCACTGGGATCCTTGTGCTTGTGAGGCAGGTGGTGGAACCACTGAGCTAAATCCCCGGCCCAACAAAGTTTATTTTAAAAAAAAAATTTAAAAGGCAGCCAGGTAGATAGAATTCCTGTGCAGAGTTTCTTAACTGAGGATTTCTTGCTATCTGGCCATTTCTACACCCAAGCAGAGGTTACTACTCTGAAAACACCCAAAAAGGCTATTCCTGTAACAGGACCAAGGCTTCTGACAGGGACTTGTAAAAGCTTCACTCCTGCCCTCACCCAACTGTTGGACCCTCCCAGTCCTTTTGGGCTCAGCTCAAGCCCCACCTGAGCCCTTCCTGTACTGCACTCTCACTCACCCTTTTCTCCAGGGTGTAACCCTTCTCTGCTGACCAGAGTTTTTTGTTTTGTTTTGATTTGTGGTGCTGGGGAGTGAATCCAGAGCCTTTGCACTGAGACACAGTCCTATTCCCCTTTTTAACTTTTAAAAATAAATGTATGAGACAGTCTCACCATGTAGTTCAGGCTGGCCTTGAATTCAGTATGCAGCCCAGACAGGCCTTGTACTTATGGTGCTCCTCCTGCCTCAGCCTTTTAGACTACTGTGAGGACTAGTGTGTAAAACGGTGTGCAGCTTGACCTTGGTTTTTTATCTGAACCTGTTCTGTATCTCAGCTTCCAGGACTCTCCAGAGTCCCACACTCTGCCATTCTTTCACCCTACGTCAGCACTGCAGTCTAGCCCCCACTCCTAAATCCTGGGTTCAGAGCAGAAAGCTCTGCTGATGAAACAGGGGCATAGCAGCCCCATAAATCCTTGCCCCACTATCTCCTATCAGTCCTTTCAGGTCTGGGGTACATCTCCCTCTCTACCCAGCTGCTAGGCCAGCCCTTTAGCTTCCTTGACTTCTAAAAGTGAGTCTTCCAAACACAAGTCTGACCCTGCCATTCACTGCTCAAAGCCCTTCCCTCTGGTCAAAGGTTAAACTTCCAATCTTGTACTCAAGACCCTAAACACCCAGCACCGACTGCCTCCTACTGTCACTCCTAGCCTTCTATCTTAAAACCGAAAGCTTAACCCAGGCATGGTGGTAAATACCTGTAACCCAGCGCTTGGGAGCTGAGTGACTCTAATGCCAACTTGGATTACATGAAACCCTATCTCAAAAAAACAGAAAAGCCGCCAGTGGTGGTATATGCCTATAGTCCCAGCAATCTGGGAGGCTGAGCTGGGAGGATCACAAGTTTGAGCCCAGCCAGGGCAACTAAGACACTGTCTCAAAATAAAATAAAATAAAATGAAAGGTCTGGGATATAGCTCAGCGTGAAGGCCCTCAGTTCGATCCCAAGTACTAGGAAAAAAGTTTAGGAGTCTCAGTATATGCCACCCATATTCACATTCCAGACCTTTACAAATATACTTCCTTCATCTACGGTGGCCTTCCCCATTAGCCTTGGTGAATACAGCACTGTGCCCAAGGTGGGTGTGTGAGACAAGTATTTATGGAATAATAACTTCAAACTCCAGTTTGCCCTTACCTCCTGCAGGAAGCCTCCCACCATCACTCCCTCCTCTGCCAAGACAGCAGCTTGCTCTCCTTACCTTGTGCTCTAATTGCCTGTCTCCTTGCCCAGAAAGAGCATCATGAGGGATGGGAGGACAGGGCCTGGGTATGGTGGCTCTGGGTCTCCCATCCCCAGAAGGGCTGGCATCAGGAAGTCCTTGTTTGTATTTCACATGCCCTTTGGCCCTTCTCCCAACCAGCCCAACAGCAAATATGGCTGCCTCCTGAGAAATGGAACTGCCTCCTCCAGTCTCGGAGGGGTTGGAACTGGCTTTCCATTCCTTGCCCTACACTGTTTGGGCAGGCCACCTTTCTTGGGTCCGCAGGAGCTGTGCCCTAGCATACATTCTCTTTCATCTCCTCTGCTCTGGTAAGGCCAGGATAAGCCAAGGTCACCCAAGGTGCACAAGTGAGGTCTTTAAAGGCACCAATGGGAATACAATTACTTTTTTTTTCAGTTTTTTGAGACAAGGCCTCGCTGTATAGTTCAGGCCCATCTTGACCTCACTACGTCATTCAGGGTTGCCTTGGACTCCCGAGTGCTGGGATTATGGGCTTGCTCCACCATACCTGGCTGGGAATATAATTACTCAATGACAGTCTGAGCCCTAACTCTAAATTCTGGGCACGTCTAGGAATTAGGCTGGGGTGAGAGCTACCTGGGGGTGGAGGACAGGGCATGCTGGAGTCAAGAATCATGGATCTGCAGCCTCTAGGTCACCTCTCGAGGGTCAAGGATGCTTCAAAGCCACTTTTGGAGGGTCAGGACTCAGGTGTGCTAAGAAGTCACCTCTAGGAAGTAAGGGATTAGGGACACCTGCATTCAGGGTGCTGGGGGGGGGTCACCTCTGAGGGTTGGGCTCGTTATGCTTGTCCCGGTCGTGCTTGATCATGCGGTAGCGGCCTATTCGGATGTCTGGGCGTGAGATCTTCATCCCAGTAAGGGAGATCCTGAGGATGGGGACAGATGAACTACAGCAGGTACCAGGAAGGACAGGGAGCCCCACGCAGTCTGCACCTCACCCCCTCACCCACCCAGTCTTCTCCCAACCCTCTCCCTACTCACCGGTTGAAGATGTCGTCATCCTCACCACCCCAGCCCCAGTACTCATTGGGGAAGCCATTGATTTTCAGAAACTGGGCCTTACTCAGGCCTGAGACACCTCCGAAGTAGCCGGCATAGGGCAGCCTATGGCATGGGAGGGCAGGTGTCAGTGAGGGTTGCAAGGCACCAAAGACGGGATGGGAAGAATGTGGAACCAGGGGTCCAGAGAGGATCTGGCCTAGCCAGAAGGATGCAGGCCATGGGCCAGGGCCAGCAGGGCACCAGAGCTGGGATTGAGAACCCAGGTGAAGGAGGGATACGGAGGTCTGGGCTTAGCTGAGAGGAGGACCTCACCGGAAGCCAAACTTGTCCATGGCAATGGCAAAGTGGCGGGGCTGGTCACCACAGCGGTACAGATTGCGGTCATCCATGGGGACCAGGTCCACATCACTGAAGATAAAGCAGTCATAGGCAGCATCTTCCTTCAATGCCTCCAGGAAGCCTATGTTGAGCAGCTTTGCTCGGTTGAAGGTGTCCTCACCATGCTGAAGGTGAGGGGCAGGTCAGCTCTGGGCCCATGGCCAGCCAAAACCATTCACCCCTTCCCAGAGTGGTTTCCAGGGGCCCACTCAGGCCCTCCCTCCCTGCATGGCTCCCTTAGATTCTTGGGATTGAGTCCAGCTTCTCACTTAGATCTGGCTTTCAAAGGCCTTGCATAAACTGCTTGCAGTTTCCTCTCTGGCCACTGCCTCTGACCCTAAGGCCCAACCACACTTTGTTCCTCAGCAGCTGCTGAACATGCCAGACTTTTTCTCATCTCTGGGCCTTGGGAAAAGTAATTCCCCCTGCCTGGAATGCCTGCCTCTCCTTGTCGAACTCATGTCTGGAAAGGCTCTTCTGACCAAACTTCGTGGTCCCAGTATAGTTACTCACTCCCTCCTGTGGACTTCATTTATACCCAGGTGCACTTAAACCATTATTTAGACCTCTCATTTCATTCACCCATTCAAACATGCCCTGTGGCCTTCTCCTTTGTGCCAGGCATCTCCTTTGTGCCAGTGGGGATTCTAGAGATGAGCAGCCCTGGTCTCTATTCCTGCTGAGCATACAAATCACAAAGTGAGACAAATAATGAATGCCCCAAATGACCAGTGTCTACGATGCAGAAGCCGTGGGGACTGAGCCACCTATCCTCAGGCACCTGCCTCCTCTGGCCCATTTTCATCCACATCCGACTCCCTGGGAGTTTCTGAGACCATGACAAGCAGAAAGCTGTAGGCACTCACAACCCAGTGTGATCCGTGAGAAACAGGCTATGGGGGTTGTGTGGCTGTGCAGACCCACACACTAAATCCTGCATAGAGAACATAGGATTTAACATGAAGAGCTGGTGCCTGCACCCCTGCCCCAACTCAAGACTCTGCAGGCTGGAGCCAGAGGCTCCTGGAGAGCAGTGTGCAAGTGGGCCCTTCCTACACCAGCCACGCCTGAGCCGGATGGGTGGGAACTGCTCTCCTCCAGGCAGTGATGTGCACAGCCCCACCAGCTCCCTTCCCTCCCTCTTCTGCACCTTCTCTGCCACCAGCCCTTAGAGGGATTGTCCAATTCTTTCTGGCTCATCAGCATTCCTTCTGGCCTCTCTCACCAGCCAGGAGCCCTAGGTTTCTCCCACATGACTTATAAACATGCTCAATTCTCTCCCTGGAAAGGAAAAAACAGACCTCCCTCCAGCCACCACCCCACCTTTTGCCTTCCCTTCTTGGCAGAGATTTTTTTTTTTTTAAAGAGAGTTGTCTCCAATCAGTTGTTTTGTCAAATTTGATTCCTTCTTCAGCCCACTGCAATCTGCTTCCGCCCCCACCATGCCCCTGAAATGGCTCTCACTGGGCCCACCTTGTTGCTAAATCCACTGGACGCTTCTCAGTCCACATCCCTCCTGACTCCCCCACAGTGCTAAAGCAGCTGCCAGGTTTCCTTCCTGACACTGACTACTGAGCTTCCGGGATACCCACTCTCCTGGCTCTTCTGCCACCCTCTGGCCAGTTTTCCTTGCATCTGTAAACAGCTTCTCTCTCTCCACACATCCCTTCAATGCTGGCTTTTCCCTACCACATCCCAGCTCCAGGGACACATTGGGGCACAGCACTCCCAGATCCTCTCCACTGTAGACCTGTCTCCCTGGTCCAGACTAGACTAACTGCCTAGAGAATCCTCCGGCACTTACCCCAAGCTTTCCAACTCTCCTAAGCAAACAGGTTGCAGAGTCTCCTCACATGGCCTAGCTCCTGTGTTCCTCATCTTACTCATCCACACAGCCAAGAGCCAAGACTGAAACCTCTGTGTTGTCCGGACATCCCTCACTTCTCACTCTCTACTACTGTGTGACATCTCTCCTGTATCCCCACGCTGACTGCACATCGCCATCTCTTTCCTGGCCATCACAATTTCTCCTAATAGGCCATCCTGTTTCATCCATTCTCCACATGCAACCACACATATTTTCTTTCTGAAAAGCAATCACACACATCGCTTCCTCCTTAAAACAATAGAGCACCATCACCTTTAGGCAGGGATTCAACTGCTCAACACATCTCACAAGACCCTTCTTGATTTGGTCTCCTCCAATACCTCCAGCCGAATCCAGCCCACACCTCTGCCATTAGCTCCCGAACACACAAGACCAGCTCTCTCACTAAGTCCTGAGTCCTCCAGGTCTCTGCCTAGAATCCTTGCCTCCTTTTGTATCTCTATCTGCTGCTGCCTATTCACCCCTCGAGACTCATTTCAACAACTGTACCCCAACTCCAGGCCCCCCGTGCTCCCATGGCTCCTTGCTCCAACTCCCATCACGTATACCACCCTACCAGAGTCTACACAGAACCATGTCAGGTCTAGGTGCTCTCCATGGGAAGGGAAAGCCGGCACAAGACCCTCTCTGGACCAAGTAGCCAACCCTAGCTACGCCCATGGCAGTGAAAAGATACTGCATGGAGTCCCCTGGCCTAAGCTGTAACCAGCATCTGCTCTCAAGGGTTCTAGGTTTCATTCTTCTTTCAGAGTACAACTCTCTCTCCTTGGGCCCTCAACAGAGCCTCCTAGTAGTGTACTTTATGCCTCTACCACCATGGGGCAGGGGCTGCAGGGCTGCCAAGTGCAAACCGTAGGGTTCACTCTCCTTCTGAGATTATGCACATCCACAAGTGTGCATGCCATATACTCACATCTCATGTACTCCTTCAGGTGTGCATTAACCTTCTGTGCACAGTGAAAAACACACCCTTCATTTCCCTGTGCATTCACATATCCATATATCCATGGGTAGACAGAGACCCATGGATGCCCTTCAAGCCCACCTATGCACAACAGGCACATGGGCCCCCACACACCTGGGGCACGCGGGTTTTGTGATGGCTACTGTCCGGCCAGGGACCACACACCTGGTTGATGACATAGATGCCGTAGCGCAGCCGCTGCCGCCTCAAGATGGGGTGCAGATAGTGGAGCCAGTAGCGTAGGTGATGCTCCCGGTGTCTAAAGGGGATGATGACTGCCACTGTCTGGGCTGGGGTGCAGTCAGGCGGTGTATAGCGGCCACCCAGGAGCACGCCTGGGTTCTCCCTCTGTACCCGCTCCAGGGGCATGGGTGAGGTGAACTCAATGAGCAGTCGACCTACTGCAGGCAGGATGGTATCAGGAATCAGGGCCTTTGCCAAAATCCCGGGACACCAGCCTTCAGGAGGTGGGCAATGGAACCCAGGAACAGCCCTCTTCCAACAGACCTGTCCTTGGCACCTCCATGGGTCAAGATTCCAATCCCCCAATCACACTGGTCAGACCCTTCTCCCACCCTACAGGCAGGCCCCGCCCTACAGGCTCACCAAGACCAGGTGGAGAGTCAGGACAGGGAGGCAGGACAGGAGCTGTGGGGCCAGGTGGGGCACTGGGGACCTCGGGGAGCCCAGAACTGGGGGCAGTGGCGTTGGGCCGAGAGCAGTTGGTGCTGCTGCTGGCTGCCGGATGGAGGACACGGGCAGGGCCACGGGCACTGAAGCGGCTGAAGAAGGCCAGATGCTGGGCATAGACATCAAAGTAGAGGATAACAGCCACGAGGAAATGCAGCAGGCAGAGAAGGAGCACAGCCTTGCAGACGCGCTCCAGCGTCCCCCCCAGCAGTCTGCTCATCCCGCAGGCGGCCGCTGGCCAGCCCAATGGGCCCAGGCATCCGGCCGCTGGCCTATGCAGGAAGGGAGAAAAAGAAACCCCACAGGTCAGCACAGGATGGATAAGGCTGCCCCCCCACCTCTGCCCCAGCTGCTCACACAGAGGCCCACTCTCATGTTTACCTGCTTATGTCCTTTGGTACTCATGGACTTTCATTCTATCTGCAAATACACCCAGCCAGTCGCTGCAGCTCAGTGCATGCCCAGTACTAACCACACCACATGCATTTCCATTCCTTGTCACCCCTGACACATACACATCCATCCTCAGGCACACAAATTACACAACTGTATACACATGTAGTCCCAGGAACATGGACATGTGAACTCTGATCACACAGGTTCATACCCAAGCACAGAAAAACATTTACCTACAGACTCGTGCGTGCACCTGTGTCCTAGAGAACAGATACCCCACAGGGCAACATCCTTAACCTTAGCCTGGGGAAAGTGACTTATTGAGTACCTACTATGCAGGAGCACTTTGTACTCCTGACTTCATTTAGTCCTTCCAGGAGCCATGGTGGGAAATGGTTTGATCATTCAGGTCCCTGCAGCAAGCAGGCCAGGCCAACTGGGACCAGGCTGGGAAATGGTCCTCAGGATCCAGAGGGCCCAAATATGGTCAGGATATCCCACTGGAGCAAGGGGTCAAACTTCAAGGAAGGGCAGAAAACACCCCTGTTCTAAGATTTTAAGGTCAGCCCTAGATAATGGCCAGTCCAGTTGGTTCTGACTGTCAGAAAAGGGCCTTTCTGGGCTCAAGGGGAACACTTCTCAGCATGGCAAGGAGGGAGTTTGCCTGGGCCATGGCTCCAGCCGTGGTTCCAACAGGGCAGCAACCATTTCTGGCAGTGCTCCAGAGACAAGGTGAGTTTCACTCCCACAGACACAGCATCACAGGGACAGCCCTGGTCCCAGCAGTAGTCACCCACACTCACACACAACTACATACAGAATCAGACACACCTGGGTGACAGTAACACACAAGCTGCACACTCACCAACAAAGCCCGCTCCAGGACTTACACAGCCACGCATCCAGCTTCCCAGGCAGCTTCTACCCAGACCCACGTGCAAGCATTCCCACCCCTCCCTCCGGGACTGGGCTTCTGGGTCAAGCTGGCCACCAAGCTAAGGGGTGCACCTGGGTGGGGCTGGGAGGCTGAACACGTGGCACCCGGGAATGGGGGAGGTCGCAGAGACCGAGTGGGTGTGTAGCCCGGGGGGCTCTTGGAGTGGGCTGCAGGAGGATGTGGGGTAGGGGCTTAGGGCAAGGGGAGAAGTGATCGGAGCGCCTTCCCCTGCCACGAGGCCAGGGAGAGGAAGGACAATGAGCGAGAATGGCTGGGGGCGGGCAAAGGAGCCCAGA